TATATATATATATGGATGTATGTATCTACGTATATATATGGATGTATGTATCTATATATATATATGGATGTATGTATCTACGTATATATATGGATGTATGTATCTACGTATATATATGGATGTATGTATCTACGTATATATGGATGTATGTATATATCTATATATCTATATATATATAAATCTGTGAAAAATTAATTCTGGAGAAATAATAGAATCAGTTTATCCTCCGACTGTTCCTACAATATTGGATATAGATAATAGAAATACAAATTTTGAATTAAATGCTTTTGGAAAAACTCTAGAAAGCAATGCAACCAAAGATTTTATTGGTGTAATCAAATAATTAAATTTTACAAATACAAATCTATCTTTAATATCAAATCACTTAATGAAATTAGAAATTAAAATCGATCAACTCTTTCTCTCTTTAAAAAATCAAAAAGAAGAAAAAGCAAGTTCGATAATCATATCTTCAGCTCCTGCTTTACAACCACCTCCTAGTCCTAATTTTTCCTAGGACCATCAACTCAGGATTTTGAAGAATTAATCAAAAATATAAAAAGTACTAAAATAACGACCTTAAATAAAAATGATCAATTAACTAATCAATCAGAAAATTCTGATAATGATAAAATAAAAATAGAACATATTGAAGAACAATTTAAAGATAATAATTCGGAATTAGAATTATAATAAATTTAGTACAATAAATTCTGGTTTTAAATTGGTATCAGAGCCACAATAAAATAAATTTAAAACCAGGATAAAATAAACAAAAATATATATTAAAAACAATGCAAACTTACAGATCACAAGACTAGAAGAGCACACCAATCAGACGCTTCTTTATTGCAGTGAAAGGACTCAAAGGAAACTTGCACACCAGCAAACAAAACAATGCCCCTATTTATAATAAAGGGCAGACTCCAAACTTAATACAATAGAGTTAAACAAAAGATAACACATCTGTTGGATGTGATATAAAGTAGGAAATTATTTTCAAATACTATTACACCTGTCATAATTATTACAATCACTATTCCACCAACCGGTACTATTTCAACCACTATCATTATCACCCATAATTTCTTCTTAAATGACCTCAGTGGAGGTCCACAGCAATCAATTGAGGTCTACTGCAATCAATTTGAGTCGAGGTTAGTCTAGGTGGGTCACCATTCGCTCCTAATTTTCTTCGTCGTCTGACCCATAATTAGAGACTGACATGTCGTCTTCTGCTTCAAATAATCTGAAATGACCTCAGGAGGTCCGCAGCAATCAATTGAGGTCCACTACAATCAATTTAAGCCGAAATGGGTCACCATTCGCTCCCAATTTTCTTCGTCATCTGACCCTTGATTAGAGACTGACATGTCGTCTTCTGCTTCAAATAATTCTTTCATTTGTTTCTGATAAAGTTCTTGTATTCTTTGTTTGATTTGATCTGAAGATTCTCGAGGATATTTCCTTTTAATTTGATCATGAATTTCCTTAAGTGAAAATTCTTGAGATCTCTGTTCTCGATTATTTTTGACATTAGAATTAATGACTTTATTAATTTGAATTATTTTATCACCAACAACGATTTTGTGACCACCATTTGATGAAAAGGGTCTGCCATAATCCTTTGACATTTACTCTATCTTTTTTATGACATAGATTCCAAGCAAAGTTCCATGAAATTTGTGCTTGACAGAAGAATAATAATTCACACATTCTATCGGCTAGAATTTCATTTTTTATTTTGCCGAGCTGAGGAGAAGAGTTAACCCACATTGGATAGAGATCATTGATGGGTTCTGGAAGAATTTCATTGGTGGCTCCGAATTTTTCCCACCATTCTAAAAATTTG